GACTCGGTGGAAACACCGGCCAATGTTAAGAGAGTGGGTGGAAACACCGGCCAATGTTAAGAGAGTGGGTGATTGCCAACCACGGCGAAAAATAAAAGCAAAGAGGAGGCAGTAATACAAAAATGCAAAAAAAGACAAAAAATGACAAAATACAAAAGGCAACAACCTACACAGTGCGAGGCAAAGAGAAAAAAATCTGAATGAAGAATTAGCAAAAAATTGGTTGTGAGCAACACTGGCTCACACTCAAATCACTCCTTTTCACCAGAAAAATATTATATTTCAACGTTTCGGTAAATAACCATCATCAGGAACGTTGAAATAGAATATTTTTCTGGTGAAAAGCAGTGATTTGAGTGTGAGCCAGTGTTGCTCACAACCAATGTTTTACTTATGAAGCTGCGTGATGCGTCCTACAAGATTTTGCAGAATTAGCAGTCAAAGTAAAACCTGGTGTAAGCGACCTCTGAGTTTAGCGACCACCTGCTCTTAACGACGGTCTTGCTATGCACCGACAGTTCTACACAAAAACTGTGGGACCTGGTTCTAAAGACCACCTGGCTTTAACGACCGCTTTTGCTAGCACCGTGGGTGGTCACTTAAACCAGGTTTTACTGCATCAGAACACAAGCTTCATGTTGAACTTGAAATCATTAAAATGTTAGCGTACAAGGCGATTTTACTGATAGAGGCAAGGCCATCCAGAGAGAATAGGCAGCCAAAAACGGAGATCTGGTATAAGCTGATGTTCAGGCTTCAGGCAAAATGCAGGAATTGCGTGTAGGACAAGTGGCAAGAAACCAGTAACTATATTTACGCAAGTGTGGCGGGGCTTTGTCGACTGTCGAGACGAATAAAATGAACAACAAATACACAGTTTTCGATCCGCTTGACTAGAGATGGGGAAGGTGTTGACTGTTGAACATATACTACAGCTCAGCAGATGGAAAGTATGATGGTTTTCGGAAAAGGATTTTCAGTATCCTCTTATTGTGGACTTCCAGGGTACCCATTAACGATTTACTTGGTAGGGGTGACCAGGCGGTTGAGCAATAGAGAAAAATGGGGAGAATACAGCCATGATTAAAAAAAGGCGAATGAATTCAAGCCACTCCAGCGCTGCGCCACGCAAACCAAAAACTTTGGAAGGTCTAGCAAGTAGTGCACGGTGCCGCACGGTGTCGAAAGCTTTCTCGAGGTCAAAAAAATCACATGACAACTTTCCGCCCCATATGACGATGGTCGGCAACGTCTTGGTCCACTCTCACAGGCACGATCACTCCCATCATCGCTCTCCGACTCGCTGCTCCCTTCGCCGTCCGCTCCATCCTCCGCTTCCTCTGCGATCTCTCTGTCTCGTCCATCCCGCCTGACCCAGTTCATTGAACGGAACTCGGCCGTCACCCTGCTGTCACGTCTCTCCTTTCAGTTTGCAAAGCCGATAATGTGATAATGTACCGTGGTGCATGCACCGATGGTACCACCACTTCGTAGACTGTGTCCCGTTCATTTCTGTGCTCCTGTCTTTATTCTCGTGAGTTTGGGTACTCGTTTTGCTGTTTGTTTGGTTTATTCGAATTCGCACAGTAAACGTGTACTTCAGCTATTCTCTCCTCCCTCTTCTGAGTTTGACTCTCCGCTGGCCTTCACTCCTCCCATCCCCAGCCTTACATTGTATTGGGCCTCCGCAGCCCCACCACCACCGCCACCCCACGCACACACTACATTGTCACATAGCACAACTCAACCCTTCGCTACCCTGTTATTGAGCACTCCTGCTCGTTTGGTCTCGGGAATCCAAATAAAATCAATCAATCATTCTCCTCCACCACCGCCACCAGCGACGGCCGAGCAAGCACAGTCTGTAAGCCAGGATCCGCGGGTTGTGTAGGTAACGGTTGTGTGGTTAATGGTTGTTTTCTAGGTCGCCCTCGCTTTGGTCTTTGTTGTTGTGCGCAAGGTGGAAGTATGTGACGTGGTGTGTGTTGTTTGATGCGTGCGTTCAGGTGCTGAACAGTCCTACCAACATACCGACTAGCGCATTGTCGGCATTCAAAGTTGTAAATAAGATGACTAAGGTGATGGGCTGGTAGGACATCCTTCCGCACCGTAAACGCACGCATCGCTTTGATTGTTCAAATTCACACTTGTAAATTTCACTGCTGTTGCTGTTGTTCTTAGTGTTATTTCTCTAACTTAGATTTTCTATAAAAGTTCAATTTTGTTTCAGTGTCCTTTAGTACAACGATGATTCCTGATGAGTGTTGTACGAAAACTTGTTTGAATCCATATTTTTTCTCTACACCATTTAATAATCTGTACATCATCTGGCTACAAAGTTGTACCCGGGTAAGTAGCAAAAGTGTGACATTAAACCTTCCAAAGTCGTGTTAATCTGCTATGCTTCAGGGGACGGCATCTTGCCCCCCACAGGCTGTCTACTTCTATATAACGGTGTTGTCCGCCCCGCCCTGGAACACGCCACCTCGGCCTGGTCCTATGCCATCACCAAAGCTGAGCTGGAGCGTTTAAATTTACAAGCCAGAGTAGCTAGGAAGTATTTGCTACGTAAAAAAAGTCACTGTAGATAGATGCGAAACGAAATCCCAGTTAAACGCCCTTTGTGACTTAGAGTCCTTGCACTTTCGCAGAAAAGTATCAGCTCTTGTTACTCTATTTAAACTTATACATATATCTCCAGAACACCTCCAACATGTTCACCTTTCACTGTCCTAAAGTCCAAGAAGACCAAACAAACTTAACATCAATTATCACGGTGTGCGTTTTTCTTCCCTCTTTTCCAACAAAGCTGCAATGCTATGGAAGTGCCTACCGCCTTCTCTTACCTCTATAACCAGCCTCCCCAGATTCAAGCATTCTCTCTATCAGCATTGTCGCCGATATATTCATTACACTGACGGTATCTCAACTCCTTCATTACCATATTTTGTATGCCTCGATCTATTTCCTTAGCCTATCCTCGATTAACTGCTCCCTCTACATAAAGTTGTCACTTCATTCTTCTTGCAGGAGATCCCCTCGACAGGCCCAAAGCCTTTGGGAAATCCTTAAATATAATAAAATACAAATACAAATATTATATTATTAGTGTGGCATTCAAACGTAGAGGACACGGTTTCAAATAGGAAATAGGTTGCAAACCGGAAAAGGGCTCAATATTCACCTTTTCTCTTGGTATTTTGATTAGAAAACAATAATGTCACAGTGAGACTACGATACGTTTTACTCCGAGCCAAAATTTCAGGGCTCTGCGATGACCAGAAGCGCCATACCAAGCAGGTGAGTTTTGACGTGTTGCTTCACACTGCGACTTGAGTTTTACGTCTTTCGAAAAATCAACTTCTTCTCACAGGTAAACAGCGGCTCGCCTCTCGCCAATAATGCACCGTAGACCAATCAAAACTAATGGAAGCACACACAAGGCTTCTTGTTGCTCTGTACTGGCCGTCGTGGAGCGATAGCAATCACCTAATTTCAGAACTCAGAGTGAACTTGACGTGCACTCCAAAACCGTTCCTGTTTGGAGCCACCTCTGTGACACCAAAATTTGAAACGAAAAATCGGGCAACTATGTTACTTGGAGGTAACGGGCCAACAAAAAAGAGAGGCTCAGTTCGATCGACTCTGGCCCCAGAGCAAACTTCAACATGCCAGTTTCCTTCCACAAACATAATTCGAGTGAACAATCCACGCTGATGATCGGTTTGGGTCTACACAATTTTGCTGTCAAACCGTTCCTATTTGAAACCGTCCCATCTACATGTGAAGTCTACATTGCTGGCATATTGGGGAAGCCGCCGGTATTTTTTTTTGGTATGGTATTGATTTATTTGAATTCGGTATCTCAACAGTACATTGTACAACTTGGGAAGATCCGAATGACATAGATACATAAACATAAAAGTGGATGCTGTTCCTTTTTTGCTATGCTCTTGTAAAATGAAATCATTCTTGTTTTCGAGTTATCTGTCGTCCATTGCTTGGACTTCTTTGGAGCGAATAATTATTGAAAGGAAGAGTCAAGATGTATTCTCTTGTTGGAATAATGAGCATGAGCCTGATGTCAGTGATGAGGATATAAATTTAGTTTATCCTCCAGTTCCCACGGAATTCGGTGGTTGCCAGGTTGGGTACATATGAAGGGCTCCAATTCAAAACGAGATATATCCATGTTGTGGAAATTTCAGGAAGTGCACTTTTTCTTCTTTTTCGGTCTGCACTGCAGCATCAGTGACTTTTATCGCGTTTTGCAGAAGAACACAAATTTCAGGCATCATTTTTACTGGGATGTATCGCGTTTTGACCCGTAAAGCCGACACACAGACGTCCGTGGGGTGAAAATGAATTCTTTCGTGACAACAAAAACGGAAAAGCTCCGGTTTGGTCTTTATCGTGTTTTGAATTGGAGCCCTTTATACAGGGGCGTAGCAGCCGCTCCGGACCACTTTTTCGCCCGACCACGACCACCATAGTAAAACAATGCCAAAGTGCCCAGAATTCAGGATTATGCATCCTAATTTCAAAAAAAATTCCGGGGGGAGATCCCCCCCCCCCCGGCTGGACCACCGCCAACGGCGGTGCTACGCGCCTGTTATATAGTATAGATTGAGAAAGATCTCAGTCAAAATGTTCGCAGGCATAAGGTGGGAGGGGGGACTCCCAGGGTTCAGTAGTTGAAAGGGGGGAGGGGGTGCTCTCAGGGTTATGCAGTTGTTTAAGGGGGCCCTGGGAGGGAGAGGTCCCAGGAGGGGGGGGGGGGGGCAGGTGGAGGGGGGTGCCTTGGGTTATGCAGTAGTTGAAAGGGGGGGGGGGGTTCCCAGGGTTATGCATTTGTTGAAGGGGGCCTGGGAGGGGAGGTCCCAGGAAGGGGGGGGGTACCCAGGGTTATGCAGTAGTTGAAAGCGGGATGGGGGTGGGGACCCCCAGGACTATGCAGAAACGGAGGGGGGGGGGGGGTGTCACAAAAGAACAGTGAAGAGTGCACTCAGCTAGCTAGCTTTCCGCTAGAGAAATATCTCACAAGATCAATGACATGGCAAACCTGCAAGGTCTGGCACGGGAGCAAGACATACGAACCACACATCAACCAAAACTAAAAAATAATAATCTCTCATAAATTTGAACTCAGATGGAGAGCCAAGGTTTAATTTATACAAAAGAGAAAAACCGAGGAACTACAAGTTACGCTATACTGTCCACGAACACCACCAGTTACTAAACAATCAGCTCATGCGATAGCATTGCACGACACTGACCGACGTTACTGACGTTCTACAACTAACTGGCTAACAGCTCTAGCACATCTTTCATGCGCACTCCAGCAGCCTTCCAACTTGGAAAGTTCTAAGTTATAGAAATAACATAAATTTAATTATTGTAATTGCTCTCTATCCGAGTTCAGAATTGTGCGTCATCGTTAAAACACACCTCCTGCCCGCAAGGACCCCACCCAAAGTTAGGAAACACTATAAAGTTACACCCCTTAAAGATAGGATAGACATCAGATACAGGTTAGATATGGAAGTGTCAGTCAGGGTGTTCGCAGCAGTATACCTAGAAGACGGTGACCGAGTTCTCGTAGATGGAGGCAAGGTGCTCCTCGACGAGGGGATGCGGCGCCAGCATCAACACACGCTTCTGTGACGACAACGACGACGACGACGACGACAACGACAAAGATGAAGATACAAAGACGACGACGACAACAACAAGAACAATATTTAAAAAAATACATGTAACAACAATGACTTCGCAATCTATACCTTCGCATGCAAAGACGCAAATCCACACAATCAAGTAGACACTTCCTTTCATCTATCAAACATTTTCTTTCCCTTCTCTTCAGGATAGTGCAGGGAATGTTGGAAATTTGGAAAAACACACTTAACAATGTAGAGTTTGCAAAAAAAAGAAACGAGAGAGCTTGGAAGCTCAGGGCCCTACGCTATACTTTTATGCTTTTTTGCCTAGCTCATCGTACATGTATAAGAACTGAGGCAAAAGTATTTGCAGAATTTATTGCGGATTGTTATTTCTCTAATAATTATCTTCTTTTGGTTTGCTCCTTCTTTTCTTTTTATCTCCTTATACTGTAAATCAAAAAATTTTGGCTGATGAGAAAATTAGAAACCTCTCTATTAAAGAGGTTAAGATGCACGTTATTTCCGACGTGACCCGCAATTTCACGTCAAATTTGAAATCGATAGGTATTTTTGCTCTCACACGCATCCATTGCTCAATAATGCACCAATTTCCTATATGACAAACTCTGGCCTGTGATTTACTTTGGCCGGTTGGTACCAAGCGGCGAAATCAGCGAAATTAAATCGCCAGCGAAAATTAGTTGATTTTAATACAGTAATCGGATTTTCTGGCCTTTTTGTAGTAATACATGTACATTGACCTGTTGAGCCAATGACGACGCCGAATGCATGGTTGCCTGTGGAGCACATTACATAACTTAGCAGTCTCCTAAAATACGTATCCTGTCCGACGGCAAAAGAGTCTGCAGATTTAGTTTTTCTGCGCGTCGACGGGATGTCTGCGACGCGAAAGTTCAGCTCGCGTTATTTGGCTCGCACGTCGAAAAATCAACGCAAGTGACCTGCTGCTCACGTGGAAATTTGGACATTACATAACTTTACAGTCTCCTATAATATGTATCCTGTCCGACGGCAAAAGAGGCTGCAGATTTAGTTTTTCTGCGCGTCGACGGGATGTCTGTCCTGACGTTCACTGGGACCGGCGCTGACTCTGCCGATCACGGGCGTTCTGGACTCGACAGGATGTCTGTCCTGACGTTTCCTGGGACCGGCTTAGACTCTGCCGATCACGGGCGTTCTGGACTCAACGGGATGTCTGTCCTGACGTTGCCTGGGACCGGCGGACTCTGCCGATTACGGGCGTTCTGGAGTCGACGGGATCTCTCTTCCGACGTTTCCTGTGACCGGCGCTGAATCGCTCGTTCACGCTTATTTTGGAGACGACGCGATCTCTCTTCCAAAGTACATGTATGTTTATGCTGACGCTGTTTATGCTGACGCATCCTATCACCTATTCGGCGTCTATTCTAATTTAATTTCCTCCTCGTCTCCCTATTTCATTCCAAATCTCCCTCTACATCAGGGAGTCGTATACATAATACGACGAATATTGGTACGGTACGGGACAGATACAGGAGCCCGCAAATATTGTGGACAGCTGTTATGTACAATCCTGTAGAGCCTTTGTAGTCACAGATACGGGACAGATACGGGACAGATACGGGATAGCGCCAGGCGTGACACAAACAAACAAACAAACACACAAACAAACAAATACCAAATTAAAGCTGTGTGGACCCTGGCTAGCGCCAGACGTTACTGAAGTAACGTCTTCTGCATAGCTACGGGAATAAATAAAAAAGTGAACACTTCAACATAGGTGATACATGATTAGAGTGCTAAAAACTCAAAAACAGAGGCTGCAAGTTCTAGACAAACACGTTCAACACATCAACATGCGAAGGTATAGATTGCGAAGCTATTTTCACCGCCTCCAAGCTAGCGTTTGAACAATAACACTAACAACAACCGATAACAACAAGAGGCGAAGAAGGCAGCAGACTGCTTCGGCTGCCATCGCTATGTGCATCTCTGTGCGTTTTTGCCGGCGTCTGCACCATGATGGTTTGTGGTTAACTTATAATTTTTTTAGAGACAATTAAAAGCAGGCTGTCCAACTTGCCTGACGCAGTCATAATGTGGCACACAACAGCAATGATTCTATATGTTTGTCTGGAGGATGTGCTTGGGGCCAAACTACATAGCAACGCTCGTTGAAGTTTGAAGTGGGCATTCAACACGGTTTTTAAGGTGGCGGTACGCCTTTTGATCCCATGCCATTTCAGCGCAATCAAGTTCAGTGCCGACCAGGTGAGCGCGACCGTTTCAGCGCCGTGAACGTAAGTGCCGATTTTTTACAGCGCCAAATATTTTAGAGCGCATACTGCAGCACCAGCAGATAAGCCTCAAATATCTCAGCGCCGCATATTTCAGCGCCGCATGTCTCAGCGCCTATAATGTCAGCGCCAAAAACGTAAGCTTGAACTTTCTCAGCGCCACATATCTCAGCGCTGCAGCAGGGGCATCGGCAGGTATTTTAGTGTGGTACGGTCAGCCATCTGAAGTACAATTTCCTCGTGGGGGAGAGATGGCCGAGCCGAAAATTTTGGAAATTTAGAGTCTAGATCAGTGCACTGTATTTTGTTGATTCACGGGGTACCTTGGGCAAAAAGTGGTACGGTCAATACCGTACCTTGTCTGACGCCCCTGTGCAGTAATATCTGGACTCCGTTATGCGTACACTACTGTACACTTATGACTGTATGCGTTGCATGCTGTATGTACGTCACACAGGCCGTTTCCCGTAGGCCAGAGTTTTTGATGTGCGTCTCTCACTGGCTCGGGACTTCTCTTGTGGTTCACTCACTTGCGGGTTATGCATTTCTTGCTCCTCATTAGTTTACTCTTTAATTTCTCATTGTCCAAACTGTATTGAGAATAATACTACAAGCATCAATGTTAACAGTGCAAATGCAGGAAAGTTTCTCTTTCCGCTAGAACAAAAGGAAACGACTAAAAAAAGGAGCAACGCCAGGGACTTGTCCACACCCGGTACCCGGGTGCGTAGCCCCTGGCGAGGCTCTCCCACGGATTCCAGTACAAAGGCCACGGCCAAGTGTCCCACTGAGTTGCAGTCGCTCATGGTCGATCGCCTGGACTTGACTTCGCGCTGAACTTCTTCACGCTGTACTTCTTTGCGCTATTCTTTATCGCGCTTTTCTTTATCGCGCTGTTCTTTATCGCGCTGTACTTCTTCGCGCTGTTCTTTATCGCGCTGTACTTCTTCGCGCTGTTCTTTATCGCGCTGTACTTCTTCGCGCTGTTCTTTATCGCGCTGTACTTCTTCGCTCTGTTCTTTATCGCGCTGGACTTTGTCGTGTTGTGCTTCTTCGAGCTGTATTTTGCGGCGCTGTACCTTTTGGCGCTGAAAAGTACGGCACCCAACTTATTCGCGCTGAGTTGCTGGCGCTGTACTTTACCGCACCAATATTCTTCGCGCTGAAGAAGCTTCCCCTGTGAAACCAGGCGCTGAAGTGCTGGCGCTGAAACGGTCGCGCTGAAATGGCCAGTTGAAAACGGCTAAAAATTGAAGTTAAAATTTGGAGAGATTGTAGGTTCATCCGATTCCTGGAATGATGTACTTTCAAAATATGTAATTTTTTCCCAATCAACTGAACGATGGTTGAGACAAAATCCAGGTTTTCGATTTGAAAATTTGAATTTTGGAGTACGCATTGCGTATTATGATCGAAATCGTAATTTAGTTCTATTTTTTTGCCAATCAACTGAATGACGGTTGAGAAAATTCAGGTTTTCGATTTGAAAATTTGAATTTTGGAGTACGCAGTGCGTATTATGATCGAAATCGTAATTTTGTTCATGTATCCAAACGAGTCCCGGTTATGCCACCTCAACATTAGTTCTAGGGGGGTGTTTGGTTGATACGATGTAGAACAGGATCGAACAGCTGGCGCACATGGAGCAGCTTTATGCCAACCAAACGGTACTCCAGAAGCAGAGTACATTTATGTGAAAAGTGTGCCAAATTTGGTTGCATTCTTCAAAACGTGTATGGGTCACCATGGTGGTCACTTTGTACGGTACAACGAGTCCAACCCAAAAGTGCATGCACGCCGTCACTTGGGAGCAAAACCGATGTTGTCGCCACGTTTCACTGTGAAAAGGTGAAACACGCACGGTCTGCTCCGGCCTCGAGGCCAGAGCAGGTGCAGTCGCAACCAAACGCGCCGTTCTGGTGAATCCTGTTCTAGGTTGTACCAACCAAACGCGGCGCTAGAGAGGTGGAGATCCAGCGGGTACACGGGACCGGTGTATAGCACATGTCATGGCCCGTCGTGACAGAACAGCGGACATCGTGATAGTCTGCGGACAAAATTATTTTCCATCAAAAACTTGTTTAAAAGTACTCGGCTCCATGAGCCAAGGAAAATATTAATTAAAAAAAAAAAAAAATGGAAGCATGTAAAAAACGGTGGGGCATAAGTTACGCATTAGAGTCTACCAACTATAGTATATTTTGCGATGTACGTTGAAACGTCAAACAAAGCAAACAAACTTACATTTGGCATAGCAGCCTGAACAAGGTCAGCCGCATCACTAGCGCTGAATCCAAACTCGCGTATACCGTTGGGCACGCCCAGGTCGTGCATGAACTTGCGCAGCTCCTCCGCCAGTATGTCTCCGGCGTCACTCAGCTTTGCATTGCTAATGTCCGCACCTGTACGATGCATGGGGGGGGAGAGAGAGAGAGAGAGAGAGAGAGAGAGAGAGAAGAGAGAGAGAGAGAGAGAGAGAGAGAGAGAGAGAGAGAGGAAGAGAGAGAGAGAGAGAGAGAGAAAGAGAGAGAGAGAGAGAGAGAGAGAGAGAGAGAGAGAGAGAGAGAGAGAGAGAGAGAGAGAGAGAGAGAGAGAGAGAGAGAGAGAGAGAGAGAGAGAGAGAGAGAGAGAGAGAGAGAGAGAGAGAGAGAGAGAGAGAGAGAGAGAGAGAGAGAGAGAGAGAGAGAGAGAGAGAGAGAGAGAGAGAGAGAGAGAGAGAGAGAGCTCGGAGAGAGAGGTGGAGACTTGCTGCAAGTGCAGTGGGGTGATTGAGTTGACGACAGGTGAACGGAATATTTCATTTCACAAGAACGTTTGCGCCGAGGGAAGTTTTGTAAGATCTCGGTAGTCCGGATTTGAGAAGCGAAAGTTCTTGTGACTTTTGTCACAATGCACCCAAAACTTGCACCAGTTGTGGAAAACACATGTTAATAACAAGCTGTGGGAAGTCGAGCCCTCGATCCCCACGCCTTTTCTCTTCACAGCAAACCCCTTGGATGCGGTTTTCCCTCCGGATATTCTCACACAGCTAGTATTTGGTAGTCTCTATCACTGCTCATCATGGTTGTGAGACTTATCCCCTCACCCCCACCGTTAGGAGCTGCAACTGTCACTGGATTTACCGGGTGTTAGCGGCCGTCGGGATTTCCCTTTGGGAAAGGGCACGGTAATTTACTCTTGTTTTATCACTGCTCATCGCACGGTGACATCACAATGATGAATTTCCGAGTTTGCCCCTAAAAACCCAATTCAAGGCTTTCCAACCCTCCAATGGGATTCTGGAAAGCATAAGGCGAGGACAGAAAGTGCAGCTGGTGACTCTCTATCGCATCGCAGGTCAGGCCGAAATGACTCGGGATTCCGACGGGCTTTCGCAAGTTTATGTCCATTCAACGTTGTGACGAGCTCGTTCCGTGCAAAGACTCGTTTTATCAGCTGCTTCACCGCACCGTGGTATACCGGTGCACAAAGTGACATCGTACATATTTGCACGCTCATGTTTCTTATTACGGTACTGCATCTTCATTAAAACCCAAGCGCAGTTTAGCGTGTATTGGTTTGTGATTTCCTTTCTTCTGTTTGCTTTAGAATTAATATCGCTCCGCAGGTACCCTCGGTCTCAGGTACTCTCATATTTTTGCAATTGTTTATTTTGCTCCTGAATGCTTTGCTACCGTCCTCCTCCTTCCTCCACCCTTTTTCTTAATTAACCTCATTATCACATTCGCTTCAATGCAATTGGGCTTGTAGCCCGTGTGTACTTGCAAATTCAAATAAAAATATACATACATGCATCTCCTTGCAGGGACGTGTATATGACCTTACAGCATAGTACGCGTACTACGCATGCATATGTGTCCATAACCAATGGTGCTTGTCTCTTGTGGCTGTTCTGTCTTTCCTTTGTTGTTGACCAGTCGTGTTCCCAGTTCTTAGTTGCAAATCTTCAACATCAATTCAATCCTCACATAGTTACGGCATAAGCAGAAATATTCGTCTGGAATTTAATTTCGTCTTTTTCGTCCGAGGAGCGTTTGGATTAAATAAAATGCCAGACTAATGTCGATTTGTCCAGCTTTTCAATACACTCCTACGATCCATGGACGAAATTTACAACCGGACGAACTCCCTTTCTTTGGAGTTGGACGACATTATTGACCGACGGAATTTTCTGCCTGTACAGTAGTAAAGGATAAGCAGCGGTATTTGGCTAGGTACAGATTTGGCCATTAACCACCGCACCATAACTGCGCTCGCCAGCCGACGTCGACGCGATGTTACCACAGCACACCACCAGCAAAGCAACACATCTGTCGTTCCTTCATACAACTGTTTCGAGTATAAAACACACGCCGTATTTTCCGCAGTATAAGCCGCACTTTGAACACTCAACATTCATCCAAAAAGGGGGTGCAGCTTATACTCCGATGATCAAATTGAAGGTGATAAATAGGATAGATGTCTGTATTTCGTGGTAAAAAAATGGGAGGTGCGGTTTATACTCCAGTGCGGCTGATACTGGTGCGTCTAGCTGGCCATGAAGTCGAGACCCTAGGTCGGTGGAGCTCCCTAAACCGCACCACCACTGCCACGATTCAGGTTGTGCATGCTTCCCCTAGCTGCATCTCATGTTTGGCATTTACTGTAAAAGCAGAAATTTTCGGTGGTGTAATATTTTCGTTATTCTCCAAATCGGCGGTTCGGTGGAGGGAAATTTTCGGTAAAACCCGTTCTCCAGGTAAGTCTACTAGTACCACATGTATACAGTACCGGTTGTACCGACATTTTCAGTGGGTTTTATTTTCGGTAAAGATTGTCGGCACCGAAATTACCGAAAATAAAACACCACCGAAAATTTCTGCTTTTACAGTAAGTGGTCTTTGTAAAAAAAGAAAAAAAAAGAAAAAAAGAAAAAATACTCCAGGAGATACTGTACTTGATGCTAACAAACTCTCTGATTACACCAGTGCAAAGCAGACTAACCTAGGATTTCTGCTGCTTGTAAGTGCCTTTCGGGGCAAGCACTGGCGGTGTACTTGAAGACGGCCGGGGCGGTCATAATGACGGACAGGCCGTGAGGCTGTGCGCATGCAGGATCACATGAAAGCAGACCGCGGGTGCACATGCATACACATATATACACACGCATGCACATACATATGCACACACATACACACACACACACACACACACACACACACACACACACACACACACACACACACACACACACACACACACACACACATAGTTGAGAGTGTTCTACCATAAACACGACGCATTAAAAAGCATGTACACATAAGCACACCGTGTGCAGCGGGCTACACCCATCCGGTGACTAGTGATGAAAACTACGGCGCTGCGCATTAAAATCCGATCACTCGATGCAATGCCAGGCCGGGGGCCGTGCAGCCCCAGGGATACGAACACTGGGATGTTCGCTTGTGCAGGGCACAAAGCTGAATTCCACTCGATGGAGATTCCATTGAGCGGCACTTTACATGTCTTCACTCCACCGTCAGGGAAAGCTGTTCCCATCACAACAGAGAGCAATAGCGAGCAGAAGGAAACATGCCCTCTGCAGGAGCAGGTTGACATACCAGGGGCGTCGGAAGGTAT